GATAGGTTTGCACCCTTTTGCCAGTTTCTCATTTTGACCAGAGGGCAGACACCTGGCAGGGATTTGGGGTAAGGTCTGGGAGCAGAGAATAGAGCTTTTTGTTCTCTAAATGTAAGTGGCCTCTGTCGGGATCAAACTCTCAACTTTAGCTTTGGGAACCACAAGATCTGATCAAATGGACTATTAAAGAGCTAAACAAACATAGTCAGCAAGAAACAGAAGCTATTTCCATGCCACAGGAGATTTCTTCTTCCTACTCCTTTTTGGGAAGCTAAGGACTAACAGTTAATCCATTAATTTTTTTTTCCAAAAGAATGCAATGGCTCATATCAAATATTTATTTTTTAGGTCACTACCACTTTTACACATTGTACACTAATTTACTGCCTCAGTGCACTAAAATGCAACCCAGTAGCCTGAAAAGTTAATGCATTTTCATCAAATTCTTAAGAGGTATCTACATCTCTTGAGAAAAAATGGCCTTACATAATGCATTAGATTTGCCCATCATTAAAGATTAAGGAAAACCAGACACAAACCAGATGCCCTGAAGGATTTCAGATATTCTTTGTTATGGAACAGTATTGGATCAGGCTTATAAAGTTTTATTTATTTGGTAAATTTATTTTTCAATGTATAAATCTTTGTAATGTTATAATAATCGTAACATATGCTCCTATGCACTTCTGTGAAGTCAAATCTTTTGTTTTTTTAATTTGATTAGAATTTGCATAGCAGTTGAGAACTCAGCCTCTAGAGTCAGATAGACCTGAGTTCAAATCTCAACTTTTTACTGTGAAATAATGGATGAGATACATAACTTCGCTAGCCTTTGGTGTCCTCATAAAGTTTTGGGGGGATGTAATTTAATAATCCATGCAAATTGCTGAATATAGCACCTGTCATATAGTAAGTGATTGATCACTGGTACTTGAGTGCTTGGTTTTTGTTTCATGCAGAGGGGTTTGAGATTATGCTTAAATTTATCCTCCACATGAAATAGAACTGCTTCAGGTTGTAGCTGCCAATTATCATTTCACATAAGGCCTCTAGGCTTCTGAGGTAAATAAAGTTTTCTAAGTCAGCCCTATTACAAAGCATGTTTCAGCTCTTTATTCTTACTTCCTGGAATAAAGTGAACAACGGTTGTCATTTCCACATATGATCAATCCTCATTATTCATGGATTCCATATTTGCATATTTGCCTACTTATTAAAATTTATTTTTAACCTCCAAATCAATACTCATGACACTTTTGTGGTCTTCCATGCACATGTGCAGGATGGTGAAAAATTTGAGGCTTCTGACAGGCAGGTACCCAGCTGAGGTCAAATAAGGCAATTCTCTGCCTTGTTTAAGTTCTCGTGCCATAAACAAATGTTCTTTTTGGAGTCTCTTTAGTACCATGTTTTTCACATGTTTTGTATCCTTTTTTTGGGGTGCTTCTACTGTTTAAAATGGCCCCAAGCATAATGCTGAAGTGCTCTGCTCTAGACACAGGAGGCCGTGATGGAAAGTAGAATGGTGGTTGCCAGGGACTAGGAGGAGGGTTGGGGCTGGGGGAAAGCTAGTGTTTAATAGACACAGATTTTCAATTTGGGAAAATTAAAAATTTCAAAATTTGGGAAGATCAAAAAGTTCCAAAGATATTGATGATGGTTGCACAGCAATGTAAATGTACTTAATGCCACGAAACAACACACTTAAATATGGTTAAATGATCAGTTTTATGTTATGTATATTTTACCACAATTAAAAAAAAAGATTATAATATGACTTAGGAAAACAAAATTCTTTATGGAAAAATGTGTGTTAGATAAGCTCCATTCAGGCTTGAGTTGTAGTGCTTTTAGCATTGAATGCAATGTTAATGAATTGACAATATATAGTAAATAAAACATCTTTAAACTGAAATGCATATGAAACAAGCTTATATACTGATTAGTTGATGAAAGTATTATGAGTAGGGGCTCACAGGAACCTAACCTTGTATTTTCCCTAGGAGCAGGAGTTCACTAAGCACTTATTCAGTGTTGGCGGTGTCTTTATAGAACATAACTACTGTGAATAATGAGAATCAACTATACCTAATCAGCTCCTCTAGAGGTCAGTATTGAATGAACTAAGAGGTGCTCAAGAAGTTTTGAGAACATATATATTCCTTTTCCAGTAGCAGTGATTGCAACTGTCCCAGGGCCCCAGAGCAGGCAGATTCCCCAGCTGTAGGAATCTTTACCATGTTCCGACTTCCAGGGGCCTAGCTTTGGCTGCTTTCAGGAAGGATACAAGGTAGTGTCATTGTGACGCGTGAGAGTTCCTTCTGGTTGACTAGGAGAGCTTGGTCACCAGCTTGTTGGCTTTGTTTTAGGTTGTCCATCTTTGAAAGCAGTTTCTCATGGGAGTACGAGTTTAGGTGGCCAAATACAAGTCAGTAGACATATTTTTCTTTTTCCTGTTTTTCTTTGTACTAGATAGGTCTTACATTTCTGTAATTCTCAGTAAGGTAACAAACAAACTTCTCTCACCTCTGTTACAAATGCCAGGCGTTGTTCAAAGCAACTTTGAGAGTATAAAGCGTATGTCAAAAAATATTTACTCTTTGCAGTCTGGGAACTACCGACTGCACTAACAAAAAGGCTTGCTAGAAGTTTAACGATGTGACCAGGAAGAGGAGACTAGGAATTAGAATAAGAATGAATCATAAAAAATTCAACTCTGTTGTGAGAAAAGCCCAGAAAGTTATATTTTGTCTGATCACTCTTGCCATTTCCTTTTGATAACAGCCCTTTGGTATCACTCTATACTGATTATGCGTAAGGGTAGGAAAAAAACCATATTGTTCTCAGCTCGCATAACAGCATAAGAAGGTAGTCATCTCACATTGATGATATCTGACTATCCATACTTTTAACAGATTACAGAACAGAAATGAACAAAAACAAAAGTATTCTTGAGCTAGGGAGCAACAGCGCAGGAAAGAAGACAGTAGGCCTGAAATATAGTTCTGACTTTGCTGCTGACATTTTATGTGACTTTGAATAAATCCGCAAATATTTCACTTATAAATGTATGTATTTATTAATTCATTATTTTATGAAATATTCTATTGCCTGTTATGTGCCTGGCACTATGCTGGATTCTGAGCCAGACCTAAACAGTCACTTTCTCCTTGAAACCTACAATCTAGTTTCTTCATGTAAAATATGACGAAATTTGGTGAGGTGTACCCTTTCAGTTGAGGTTTATCCTTTAAGGCAATTATTCTTAAACTTGTCTCAAGATTTCTTTATACTCTTTAAAATTATTTAGGATCTTCAAAAGCTTTAGTTCGTATAGATCATATCCATCAATATTTAACATACTATAAATTAAAAATGAAAAAATTTAGAATATAGGCATACACAGGCATATATTCTATTTGCTGACAGAGTGATGATGTCACATATTGTGAAGTCTCTGGAAAACCCCACTGTACACATAAGAAAGAATGAGCAGTAAAAATACCTTAGTGTTGTTATGAAAATAGTTTTTACTCCATAGACTTTCTGAAAGGATCTTCACTCCAGGGATTCCCCAGACCACTCTTTGAGAACCATGCTCCAAAGCAATAATTTTTATATTACTTTAATTGAATATTTTTTCCTCTAACTTTGAAGTCTCCTCCTCCTGATACCTATAGCTTTACTTTTAAGGAGATAGTAAATATTGGCATTTTGGAACATTGTATATTTATTTGCTGAGATGTACTTATTGCCAAGAACGGAGATATTAATTTTATTGTATTATAATCACCAACTACCAATGTGTAGGCTATCCAGAAGACATTTGCACATTTGTCTGTTCTAGGGTACAGATTGAGATCTGTGGTCTTGTGGGATTTCTTACAGTTGATCTTCAAGTCAGTCTTCAGATGATAACATTCATATTATTGCTATGCCTTGTAATAATGTCCCAGTTAATAAACTTTCTGCATT